GAGAAAAATCCTATATCCTCAAGGGCTTGTGCAAAATCCAACTCACATCGCCGTAGCCAGCAACAAACTACTCCATGGCCATCCTCGAAATATACCTATGAGCCTTCTCATATTGCTTCTAGGTTTCAACTAGGCGTTCATGGTGAAAGGATTGCTACTGTACCTACACCTATACCTGAATCAAACACATACCTATTTCCACAGGGAGCTAGTCTCAATGAGCTTTGGACTCAAACAGAGCATGAGTTTGTGTCCTTCAAAGCTTAATCTAATTAATTTTTAATAAATTTTTACTCCACTTTTTTTTTTCACTTTTATGATGAAAGTAAAGAATAGTGGTAAAGGAAATCAACATTTAATAATTATCATTATTTGGTATTTTTGTAACTACTTTTTTAATTTTCTACAACATTAATTTATTATATATATTTTATTTTGATCTTAGGTTACTTCTAAGGGGAATCCTCAAGTATGGAAAAGGGCATTGGAGTGAAATTGCTAAACACTTTTTACCAAACAAAACAGAACAAGAAATTCAAAGTTATGCTACTAGCTTCTTCACAAACCTACCATACACACACCCTGAGGACTATTGTACAAGGAAACAAACTTTCTTTGCAAATAGCCTTATTCCTACAGACAAGATGAGTGCATCTCTCTCTAATGTCATGCCTATGATTGACAATAAGCCTCAACAAACCCTCATGCTTTTTCTAGAGGAAACTTCTTTCTTTTTGGTCCCGTCAAATGGAGAAGCTAGTAGCAACACTAAGACCAACATGTATGGGTCCCAAATGCAGATAGGTGATGAAAACACTTCTATGAATGCTAGTGTTAATGGAGAAGTTGATTTAGAGTTGCGCTTAGGTAGATGCAAGTGATTGTACCACACATTATGTCGCTTAACTATGCAACTTTTTTATTATTATTTTGTTTATTGTGGTGTTAGGTTTCAATTATATTAATGTTATGTAGGTATAGACTTGAAATGTGTTTTTCTTAATGAAATACACCTTTCATTAATATTTCTCTTAATATATTTTTTTAGAAATAATATCTTTTATAGCAAAAGGTCAATGTTCTCTTCTTTATTCTCTTGTAGATCTCATGATTTAATTTTTAAGTCATTTTTATTACAACACTATCATGTGTTTCAAAATATGATCGATGAGATCTCTAATAAATAAATAAAATTTAAATTATTTAAAATATTGAAGGGTCAATGCACATCATAGTATTTAAGAGAATCAATCCACAAAAAAAAAAATTCTTAAGTTGAAGTGAGAAAAATTATATAAATGCTATTAAATATTACTTTTATTGCCTCATTTATTGATTCCAATGTGTTTTGATTCACAAGATAATTTTAAGGTTTAAGTATGTTTTTAGTACTATATTTTATATATTTTTAATTTTTTCTCTTTAAATGATTTTTTTTATTTTGGTCCACATATTTAAGTAAATTATTATTTTTATCTATCTAGTTGATATTTAATAATATTTTAGTGGATCATATTAGCAATTAAAACTAAAAACAAAAGTTTGTGAAAATTATTAACTAAAATAAAAAAATATCATTTCAAGACATTAAATAAAAATTTAACTAAAATATGATGAATAAAATATATTCAAATATAATTTTAATGTTATAAATCCATCACCATCAATAATAAAAGAAGAATTCATGGAGATTAAGTTTTAAGATTTAAAATATCTAACTCATCAAACAAACAAGTCTAGAATTGTAGATACCTAGTTGAGATTGTATATACAAATAAGACACTTTGTATTTTAATCTTTTAATTTTATTTTATTTTATTTTTCTATTTATTTTTATAAGTTTTATTAGTCATTTGATTTTTTTTTTGTTTTAATTTAATTTTTTAAAATTGAAAATTGATTAACTAATTTTTAATATCAATAAAATAAGTCACTTTCAAATAACTATGTTGAGCTGCATTAATCAAATAGAAAAAGAAAAAAAAGATAATGATGTCAAGACAATTATTATAGTAAAGAAAAGATAAAAATAGTAATTAATGGAGTTAAATATAATTAATAGATATAAATTATTTGATTACATTTTAATTGGAAGTCTAAAAGAAAATATAAAAAGAGTTAGAAGATAAAATAAATATAAAAATAAAATTAAAAAACCAAAATACTCATTTGATCTATGAGGAATCTAGTTACTTTTGATACCTGTGCGACATGGATATCAATTATATTTAAGAGAGCGGTTAAACAACCACTATCCAAAGTATAGGTGTAAGATTAGAGAGCGGTTTCACGTGGAACCGCTCTCCAATGTATAAATGTAGACTGTGAATCTGAAATTTGAAATTAGTTTAAATTAAAATTTGGAATTGATTTCTTTGTGAGTTTTCTTCATTTTTATCACAAATTAAAATTGAATCTTGAGTTTATACGTTTGGTGTTAACCAAACAGTCTATATCTGTATGAACCAAACAGAAAAAAAAAAAACAAATTAGTAGAATAATTTTTAACGTTAATAGAGAGAGAAAAGAAAGAAAGAGAGAATGAATGATTCACCATTAACAAAGAGAAGAAGAAAGAAAGAGAGAATGAAGAAATATCTATAGATGTGAAAAAAAAACTAATTTGTTAGCGCAGAAAATATGAAAAGAACAAGCTAACAAAGAATGAAGATGTACCTATAAATATGAAAGAAAAACAAATTGTTAGCGTAGAAAAGATGAAAAGAGCAAGCTAACAGAGAATGAAGAGGTACCTACAGATGTGGAAAAAAAATTAATTTGTTAGTGAGAGAAGAAGAAGAGAGCAGGCTAACAGAAAAAGATAAAAAGAACATAAGAGAACAGAGAAAACGAATAGAACTTACAGTAAAAGAGACTAACTTTGTTAGCTAAGAAGAAGAAATGTGTTGAGCGTGTTTTATTTATAAACAACTTTAAAGACTTTAGAGAGCGGTTCTTTCTTAATCGCTCTCCAATGTGTGACTTTAGAGAGCGGTTAATAGAAAACTGCTCTCAGAAGTATAGATCTAAGAGCGATTAGTAGAGAATCGCTTTCTAAATATATAGTTACAAAACAATTTTTACTAACTACTGTCTAAGTTAGCGCTCCAAAATCTCATTTCTAGCCTAATGAATTTACCATGATCATGTTCTACCAAAAAAAAAGTCTAGTAACAGTGGCAACAAAACTTTTCCTGCACCTTACTTTAAATAGATGTAATAGTTGACATTTTAATTTTATTGATCATCATGATTTCCTTCAGCTTATTAAGAGTAAATTCAATTCATTTATTGCCGAACAAATCAAGAGCGGTGCAATAATCTTTTACCAACCTTGATTTACTTGTCTATAATAGGCACAATAAGTACTTATGACCATGTATGTGTAAAAGTGTCAAAAACTTCAATAAACTGAAAAAGAATCATTCTAGATTGACCTTCACTATTCCTTCCAACAACGTAAACTTGTTATTTAAGATGCTTATTTTACAATATGCCCGAGCCATAGACATAAAATTATCACCATACTCCACGTTCAGCCACAAAATCTATGGGACTCGATTAAGTGAAGTTCTTTGTTTATTTTTTTAAGATTCTTATTCCTTTAACGAGGCTTATGCAACTATATTCTTTTTTAAAATATTATTATTGAAAAATGGTTGATTGTTATTATGATATCTTGACAATTAAAAGAAACGTTTTAATTATATCTAATCACTTCTCAAACAATCTCATCATCTCTTTAGTTATTTCTACATGCATAAATATTATATATGAATAAATCTTAAATTAGTATATATAACTCGTAACATGCTATATTATATTAAGGGAAGTAAATCATTTTTTTAACTTTGCAATTAATAATGCCCAAGTCTATTGAAGGAAGACTTATTTGCTCTTGATTTACATGCAAGTTTAAATAATGGTTATTTAGGGATAAGATGTATGAGCATTTAAGAAAAAAAAATTGTACACGAGACTTCCTTGAATCTAATTTTGCAAGCACTTCACATGGTCAAAATGCAACAGAAAATACGATCAAAGATGCCTTTAGGTTCAATAAACACCATGTAATCATGTGTTAGAAGATGAAAATAAAAATAAAAGTAAGAAAATGTAAAAAGTTTTGAGTTATTAAAGAATGTAAATTAAAATTGTGCGAAAGATGTGAAAAATAAGGGCGGATGAAAAAATCTAACAGACTAAATCTGATGAATCTGATAAATAAAAAATAAGTTTAAGATTAATTTGAATACATAATGTATTGATTAATTGAAAAAATCAGTTAAAAGAAGATTAATTCGGTCGACTTCGAGTTAATATTTTTAAATCTATGGAAATTTGAATCTAACTGAAGTATTATAAATACAATTTTTGTATACTTAAACTTCAATAATAAAGTTGTAAAACAAGGTCTTGAGCTTGAGTTTCAATAATAAAACTGTATAATTAAGATTTGCACTGAGCTCTATTATCCTACTAGACGTGTCAACAACAAAGGCAAGCTTATTCTTCTTGAGAACTTTTTCCTGACTGGATCAGTTTGCACCTCCCACAAGCTGCTAAACCACTTTCTTGTTATCCATTCCTAGTACCTTCTCAAATTCCCTCACCATCTGCATCCCAGCTCCCTAGAAGGAGCAACAATCACTGCTTCTATTCTCAACTTTTTGCCACTCCCGCCATCACCTTTCGGAAATTTTGTCCTTCAGGGGTGCAACTTCCTCTCGATAATATTTATCAATGGCAAAACTAGTTTGAATTTCCTTCAGTTTTGAATTTTGAAGTCGCAACCCACCCAAACTTGTCCGATGCCCAGCCCTTACTAAAAGATACGTCTTTTTCGAATTGACGACAATGAAATGTCTATGGCATTGAATTATTGCATGATATGAAGTGATTTAATTTAATTTATCTCTATTTTCTTTCGTGATTATTATTTGTTGAAGTTATATACGATACAGTAAAAATAAAAATAAATAAAGACACGCTTTCTCCAAAACTTGTCCTATTGAAATTTAAGATCAGTGATTGGATCAACACATCAATTTTTAGAGCAGCCACTATCATGTCGTCAACAACTAAACATATTCTGCTGGTGCTCTGACTTCACATGATCCCTGTATGATATCAAAATACACCCTTCTTAGTGTAACATAAGAATAATAGTAGCTCAATTTTGGGAAGGTGCACATTAAATTTTCAATTCAACATCAATCGGTTGCAGCACAACTACACAAATCAAAATGCAGCAGCTTTTCTCGATTCTTCGTAGTCTCCATCATGATCACTTGCTTCTCTCCTTCGAAAGTATCTATAGTAGATGTACTGCAATATTATCTGTTATATATTGTTAAGGTTTCGGTTATGCATAATCCTTCACAATTTACCATATAGTTAGTAAGATAACCCGAATCAAAAATAATTATCCACATCATGAACTGCATGTATAGGATACAAAAAGGTCCAATGCCACGCAAAATGCGGCATCCAACAGCCATGGCATGTTGGCTTTGATGCTTTCTAATTCCGTTGTTCTTACAAGAATGCTGCATCAAGACGTGTTAGAATTATGGATTAATTTTAGTTAATTTTAAGTATAATTTGATGCAATTTTATGTACAAGGGGTGGAGGTTGGAACCTTCCCACGTAAGTGGCATTAGCGATCAATGCAAAGATAAACATGAAAGGATTCAAGCCCTAGTGTGACACAAAAGCACACACAAATCAGTAGAAATTAATATCTAATATTTGCACATGTTGTAATTCATATTCGAAGGCTGGAAATGTTTATAAACTGAGTGTTACCTCGACACTGCCTCTTTTAATCTGATCAATAATTGAGGACACGAAAGCATATCAGCAATGAGAAAGCACATTAAAAGAATAATAAAAACCTGAAAATTAAATAAAAAAATGACACTTACATTCATCCATATTTGAGGAAGCCGACCACCTATATAGATAGCAGCCATGAGCCATCCCAACCATTGACCAAATGTACTATGTTTCTCGTACTCCTGTGATAAGCATTAGTTGTTAGCAGCAAGTGCTATTATGCAATGCAAAATTAAACCAGCACCACTGGCTAGTCCCACCTGCAAAAGCTTCCTTTCACTAAATCCAACGTATTCTGCTCCCAAAGCATTACCGTTAAGAGGCAAATTAACGGTCGCTGCAAGAAATGTTCCATAACTTCCCTGAGACAGTGTCACAGTATATGGAAAACAGAGTAGTATATTAGTGTAAGGAGGTGAAGAAACAAATGTGCAAAACTATTAGAAATAATCATTACCGTGCAAGGAAAAGACTTGTTGATTAAGGGTTAGCTTATGCTGATCACAAGCGCAATAGAAGTAATTAGTCGTAATAACTTTGTTTTTCTTTGTATAATTTATACCAAATTATTTAGTAGAGCTTCAATTTTTCTTTCTTCCGCTATTTTATTTTAACAACCCTCTTCCTATTTTATAAATGCAAGACCAATTGTATAATCTAAGTTGGGAGCACGTAAAAACTTGGAAAACTCACAGCCACAGATCGAGGGATGGGTCTAGGCTGGGTTGCAGAAGTTCCAGAGGAAGCTGGAGATGCTTCATCCTCGGAAGAAGAGTCATCCTTCAATAATTCCATGGCTGAAGGGCCACTCTTAGCAGCTCTTATGTAGGTACCCCAGGGTGGAGTGCCACTCCCAGCCAATGATCGTGCTGACCTGCATAATTAATTTAAAAATTTAAGAGTGAAATTCTTTTTTTTACTCTTTTGTATATTATATAATAAATAATTTTTTTATTACAAACTTTCCATTTATAATTATTTAAAATTAATCATAAAAACTGTCCTCCATGAAATTGAAAAAAATTAAAATTCAAACTAAATGGTCAGAGAGCAGTCACATAATGGAAGAAACCATATGGCTTACATATAAAAGTACTCTCGTCTAGGTGCTGTTTTGGGTGTGCCTTTTGGTATTGGAATCCCTGACTTGTCACTTGGTTTCGGCGGTTTCAACGGTTTTTTCTCCTCTTCATAATCCTGTAGGACAATTGACCCTGTTCGTTCACTTCTTTGGTTAGGGGAAAACTTGATTTTAATTAATTTGAGAGAAAGAAAAATAAAAGTGCGTGAATTTCATATTTGATTAATTAGAAGGAATCTAGGAAATTGGAAATGTACCCGTTTGTTGTTAACCTTCCGACGATGTCTGTACCATATGTAGATGTAGTCATAATATATGATTTGCACAACTAATATGATCGTCGTGGCTGTGTAAAGCTGTTAATTACAACGTAGATTGCTCATTAAAAAGAGCATGCTTGCTATTCTCGTAGGTTAAAAGAAATAATAATGATGAAACATAACTACAAGCTATAGCTGATTATGGGGTGAGTCTAATGATAGTGCCTATGAGGGAAAATATATAGAGCCGTACAGGATTTTGCATTAATTGAATTGACTTTTACTCTTAAATTTAAGATTTATTTTTTAGTTCATTTTTAAAGCTTAATTTAACCTATATAAAAGTTTCACTTAATTTGGGTTTCTATTTAAAATCTTGTATGTAATGAAGTCTTTAAATCGTTAAAAAAACTTACCTCTAATTAGCTTAAGGAATTTTATATATAAATCAACATATATATTTAAATCAGTAATTTAATTTTATTATATTATTAATGTAAAAATTTTATGCTATTAACCAATCAAAAGTCATCACAGTTAAAACTTTTAATTTAATTATTATAAAAGTCAATAATTTTTAATAACATTTGTTTATGATTGAGTGTAAGTTTAAAAAAGTATACTATTAGTGTATTTTAATTAAAATAAATGTATAATCTTAAAATTTATATTATTATTATTATTATAAAGTTTAAAAAAAAATTTAGATGACTTAAAGTCTGATCTTTTTAATTAATAAGTTTTTTATTTATAAAAGTACTTTGAGCTACCCTATTGCCAAACTGATAAAAGACTTCTCATATTCTCACTCTTAATAATGCATATATTATTTTAGTCACTTAAAAATATGTTGCAGTTATTAAAATGATTTTTTAATCCAACAATTTTTTTAAATAAATTGCACTTTTTTACTTTTCTAATATATTGTAACAAGAATTTATTAAACTAATTATTCAAATCTAAACACTTGTTTTATCAATTTAATATTATTTAATTATTGTAATTTTTTTTTTTTGAAAGGGATAAGTGAGGTGACCGGCTGGGACTGAGTTCGAATCTTCTCTACAAATTCTTGCATCTCCTCTCAATCTCCAATTTTTCTCTCCAATAACAAAAAAGGAAAAGTTGAGTTGACATGCTTGGCTTCTGCTACCAACCTCGTACCCATAATGGTTTTTGTTTGATGACGAGTTATTCAATTTTATAATATTTTGTAGGGTTTTATAATTTATTTTTTTTATCACATTACTTATTTATTTTATATTATATTCTATTTTATTCTTTTTTTTTTCAATTCCTATCTGTAAATATTGTAAAAAAATTCATAAGAAATAAAATTTCTCTTCTCCAATTACTTGATTTGTCCCATTGACAATCAACCAAGTTGATTTGAATCCGCTGCATTAGAATGCCAGCATATATGTATAATCTTTGACCTCTGATCAAGAGGAAGGTATTACACACTAATCATTTAAGTACTCGCTACCTATAGATTTCTTACCAGTCAGACCCCATACTTTGACATGATTCTTTTATATCTTTTATTACATCTTATAAAATGTAACTTTAAATTCTAAATACTTTAACAGTGTAATCATCTATTTAATACTCTTCATCTTTTTATTTCTTTATTTTTATCACATGATATTAGTATCACATTATTATTATTATTATTATTATTATACCAATCTCTCTTAGGATGCTGGGGGCATATTAAATAGTATCATAAATAAAGAAAAGAAGAGACAATGACAATATTTGTAATGAATGTGAAGGCTGGGTGCCACCACTCCCCACCAAGTTTAGCCAGCAAATTTTGGCTTGGGACCAAATACCTGACACGCGTCCCCCCTAAATTGCCAACCTTGGATCCTATCAGATATTCCCAATGCTTTTAACCAAATCAGCACATTTTTCGATTCTGTCATGGATTCTTTGTTTTCAAAAATCGATAAAAGGGAATTGAATAATGAATATAATAAAATAAAATGATTGATAATAAAGTGTTTTTAATATAAGGATTCAAAGATCATGAATGATAGAAATTGATTAATAAAGTACTTAAGAACCAAAAACAGGAATTAACAAAACTAGACATTTTCAATTGATTACCAGAGCTGTGTAATACTGAGTCGGCAACTGCACTCGATCCACCGATCCCCAAATTGCAAGAAAAACAAAAGCCACAAAGGAGAAAAAAGTAAGTCCACAGTCACACGTGAAGTGTGTATATGGATTCATCTTAAAACATCTATAAACATGAACTCAAAATAAAGGTTATAATTATTAACATATGTAGATTTATAACATTTAAATACAAAAAAATATGAAAGAATGATGAAGAACAGTACTTTGTGGATGATAAAGAATATCATGATAACAGAGAGACCAATGCCTCCCAATTGAATACCAGGGGCTCTTACACAAACACACAACCAAACAAATATTATAGTTCTTGTGGTTCAGAACCACTCACCGTTGCCGGTTCAAGAAGGCAACCCACTAAATTGCATATATCCCTGCATCAAAACCAAAACATTTTTAACAAATCATAACTGACAATTGATTAAGCTAGTTAGTGCCTCTTTCAGAGATTGTAATCCAAAAGATTTTGTTCAAAACTAACTGGTAAAAAAATATTTCTAATTTGTAGACTCCTTAATGATATCATTATTCATTTAACTATTTTTAATAAACATTAAATAAATATTTTAAAAATATAATTTTTTATTTAGAATTAAAATATTTAATATTATATTTTACAGTTTTGAATAAAAAATATTATTTAAATTATTATTATGCTACATTAGCCGCATATTAAAAACAATGGTGCATTTAATATTCTTTATCACCCTATTCTTTTTTTCTTTAACATAATACATACATCATCCATTATACATATACACTCTAAGCATGTTCTGGAAAAAGTTCATCACAAGAAAAAGTTGGTTATGCTGTTTCTAAAATAATGAATATGGAAAACGAAAATTAGGAAAGTTGACTAACCCAGCAACCCAAGCGAGGAGAAAGAGCAGAGAAAGTCCATGGCTTGACTTGGTACGAAAAATAGTGATTATTTGAGGAATTTCAGCTACTCCCCAAAATACTAGACTTGTGAGCCCTAAACCGAATGAGATGTCATCTTTCAAATTGCAAAGACAGTCTTTGAAGTATATCTCAACCCATCTCAGGCATGGTTTTCTCTCCTTCACACAATAAGAAGGTGTCATTCTCTCTTTCTATCCTTTCTCTGTGTGCGAGTTTCAGCTGAGAAAATTGTAGACCGTGGTTTAATATATAGAAAAAGAAAAATTTTAAAATTACATAACAAGACATAGAAAAAGAAGAATCTGTCAGATTGTATCATACATTTTTAGGTTTCATCAGAATTTGAAAATAAAAAAAAAAAATAGTAACTCTATGTAATTAAATAAAATAAATAAAAAATATTACCAACCACAACCACATTTTTTCTAAATTATAAAATTTTAACATAAGATGTGGCTGAATCACATGCTTCCGAGTACTCGATAAGTTTTCCTACCACAACCATAGGATCACGTGTGTCTGTAATTAATGCTACAGACCAGAGCGAACCTCATTCCATGTTTATCCCAAGCATAGAAGTTTTGATTAAATGCTGTGTTAGATTTTGTGTTTTTTTAAAAAAAAAATTATGTAACATAATATAAATGTATAATAATATTAAATTTTTAATTTGTACAGTATTGCACATTTCTATAAAAAATTAACGTAATTCAATATATATAATATTATTAAATATTAATATTTTTAATAAAAATTTATTATATATAACTTTTTATTATGTTCAATATTATACAAACTAAAAAATCAAAATAATATATTTTTAAAATGACTGCATAAATATTTAATTTTCAAAGAGTTATCTTTATGTATTATTTTGTTATATAGCCTATTAATTACTAAAATGTATTATCTTTTAAAAGTATCTTAAATTTCAAAAAATCAAAATTAATAAAAAAATTAAACATATATTAACATTGTATCATATAAGTTATATAAATAAAAATTTTGTTTTAAAATGTTCTTCTGCTCGATGCATGATAAAATAACAACTTGAAATATGTTCAAGTATTAAAATGTAAGCTACTTGTAATTATATTTTATATATAAATAAATTTTAATATTAAATTTAAGTATAAAGTTTAAATTTAAAAAAAATATTTTTAATAAACATATCTACATAACATATATTTATTACAATTATATATATATATATATATAAAGAATACAATCACTACTCCATTCTATATTCATAAAATTTACATTACTTGAATAAGTTTTCGGTTGTATACTAAAGCATTTAAATTATAGCTAATAGCATCACCAAATACACATTGTATAGTGTAAATTATTTAAAACATTTTATTACTACAAAACCTGCATATATAGACAGATTTACAGACGAAATTTTAAACTATTATAGACGGTTTTTAAAATTACAGACGAACATAAACCGTCTGTAATATTTTCATCGGTAAAGAATTATAGACATATTTCACAATCTGTTTGTAACTTATAGACGAAAAAATCTTTCTGTAACTTACAGACTAAAAAATTCATCTGTAATCCATCTGTGATATATTTTACTATTTTTGTTATTTTTTGTTTATATACATAGTTATTTCTACCTGTTCCTGATTATCACAATTTATAAACATAATAAAAACTACAAATTGGGCATCTAAAAATTCAAAAATGGTTTATAAAATATAAAATTTAAATGTCATTACAATTGAAGACAAAAACATTCAAATAAATAATGTTAAAAATAAAATACATGTGTTCATCATAAATAATCAGTATGCTCATCATCTGAAGGAGTATCATCATCAGTAGATAAGGAGTCGAAAGAAGAATGATGCATGGAGCTGAAAATCGTTGGTGCTGGAGCTGGTGAAGGAGGAGGAAGAGGTGTGGGGCTACTTGCTCTCATTAGTTAAAAATATGTATGCATTTGCTGCATCTGCATATGTTGTTGCTTCATCTGCTGCTGGACCTCCCTTTACATCCTCGATGCCACCTTCTTCTTTATCTTTTTCTCCATTTTCGTTGTCCACTTCTTCTTCTATACACTTTCCTTACTCTTCCACATCTTCTTATTCAACTTCTGGAGTTCTTCATTGAGGGTATAGACTTGAGTGGACCATGTTCTCCACTTCCTCAGGTACAAGAGAAGGGGCATCTCCGGTGACAGATGTAGGAGACATGAAGTCTGCAAAGCAGCCTCCCATGCCATAAATGCGACCTTTATAAAGGTCACCCACTGTCTGTGACCACATAGCATCCTCATCAACTGACTCTGGATCCTGAGAAGATGTCTCCTTAAGCCTTTGAACATAATTAATCCTACAGTTCAGTTCAGATAACTAGATATTAGTCTGGAGATCTATTTAATAAATCACTAATAATAACATTTAGTATCAATATCAATAAGAATGACTGACATATGTGACCTGAAATTGTGTATCAACCTACAGGTTTTTGTCTTCCCTGCGAGTGTGTGTCTCCTTGAACAACTCTCCATGCATAGGTGGCCTCTTCAACAACTTCTCCTACAATTTGAAATAAATCACAATCTCAAATATGAAATTATAGATAGAGTAAAATAAATTTTAAAATCACATACCAAGTTCATCTTAGTATCAGCCAAAGTCGTAGAGCCACCAGTATGCAGTGATCCCCCTTGTTAGATGCCCTGTTTGTCTTATTCTTTACGGAGAGATTTTTAAACTCATCTGTACCCAATACTCCTTCAAGGCATGAACAAAGTTGGGTGCTATCCAATTAGCAGTAGAAGGGTCTTGACGAGCCTTAGTGTACATCTGTCTTAGTCGTTTTGCAGTGCGACTCTTCCAGTCCTTGAAAATCATCTTTTCGTCTTGGGAGAAATGGAGAAGTTGCTCTACATAAACACAATTTCATTAGAAGAGGTACAAACAGTCATATGTAATTACACTTAGTTAAAATTAATACACTATTATTACTTTCCAATCTTTGAACCATTTCATCTTTGTATCCTTTGGCACCTTTGCAAAACTTGTGTAAGGTGTCACACTTCTAAAGAGAAGTAAATTTGACTAGCAACTGTACTAGTATTGATGTAACAAGTTATAAAAATGATAGTCCCAAGTATTGTTCTCAGGGAATAAAAGTATTCAATTATCACTTCACAAGGCCACAATTAGTTGAGCTTTACAGATGTCAAATTGATTTTGGAAATAAAAGTGACAAATATTGAAATCAGAAAGAGAAATAGAACAATGAACATGTAAATGTGTGATTAACAGATATGGAAAACAAAGTTAGGGAGTTGTTTCACAAAACTTTAATGTTGAATCAATAAAGTTCTAAACTTGCAAGTAATTGGAAAGAATGACAATCAGTTTCACGTTGTATTATTCAGAGGTTAATTCCTTAACTCAATGAACCTAACATTCAATCAAATCACTCTAATTCCTTAGATCTGGTTCAATTCAATGTTGCTTTAAGTGTAAGAAACCAAAAGATTGCAAGATTAAGTTCTCTTATCCCTAAGAAAGCTATAATCCTCGTAATTGATTCAGATATGAGAAACAAATCCAATTTTCATTGATAAGAGTTTATCTGTAATTAGTTAATCAAATTTCCATTCAATCACTATGTAAAGTGAAGAATCAATCACTCAATCCATTCAAAAACTCAAAAGTCAGATCCAGAATCGATTCAACACATTCGTTTTGGATCCACAATCCCTAACTATGAAGAATTTACGCAACCATTACAGCAGAGAAAGAAATGTGTTGAACGCAGAAGAGTCATCTTCAATTGATCTTCAATCTGATTCCTTTAGGTTGAAGCTCGATGTTCGTCCCCACTCTCTCTCTCAAACTCTCTCAACACCAGAAAACTAAATGCAAATGAAAAATGAACAAAAAATCCAAAAATCTGAGCGCTTCTGCAATTTATAAGTTTTCCCGCCTTCTGCATGTTATCACTTTTCTTCATAAGAGTAGCCATGCAAAGGCTTATCTGGTGTTCTGGAAGACTCGAATGATCACTTTCATTCATAAAAGTGGCAACGCTAGAAGTTGAGTTATGTGCGTGTTCACTTTCATGAGTAAAAGTGGCCACGCGCAACTTGCCTTGCTACATGCCTCTCTGGAACAATCACTCTTTTTGGCGAGAGTGATAACGCACTACTCACTAAGATTGAGACTTCTCTAGAACATCCACTTTCACCAGCGAAAGTGATAACGCGCTATTCTGCTGTGATTGGAGTTCCTCTGGAACGCTCACTTTCACCAGTGAAAGTGACAACGCCCTCTTTGTTGAGTTTGGAGCTTGTCTGGAACGTTCACTTTCACCAGCGAAAGTGATAACGCATACTTGTAACATTTACTCTTGTGGATAAGAGTGATTATGCACAGATTCCACTTCTCATTTAAGCTCTGGAATAATCACTTTCACCAGAAATAATGATCACGCCCAGCTCAAACTCCATTAAACCTTGTTCCTTGCATCCAGTTTTGCTACTTTTCTTCTATCTTTCCATTGATCTTCCATTTTCATGAACTTTGCTCAGATTTTCCTACAAAAACATTATTAAATTACTAATTTCTACACAGAAAATTCATAAATGCTAAAATAACAATGAATCTAAAAGAAAACCTTAACCATTCTATTTTTATGAGTTTTTCTGCTTTTTCCAACATATTTTCTTTATCAAATGGATTAAAGCTACAGTAAAATACTAGTCAAAATGTGGATTCATCATAAGGCGCATCAAACATCTTCTTAATGGTATTTGTGACTTGGTAGAGACCTTTCTGTGGTGGTATCCAACTGATAACACAATAAAATAAAATAATTATTATAACATTCACATAAAATATGCAATGTTAGGCATATTTTGAAGGAAACTTACCGAGTAGACCCATCCCATTTCAAAGTTTCTAACAATCTCAATGATGCCTGGGTCTGTGATGATTGCTACCCACTTATAGCTGGGACAGCAGTGGATCCCTCTCCTGTGCCCTATGTAGTAGGCAGTGCAGAGTGTGAAACTCGCTGTACTGGAGGGGGAGGAGCAATATACCTAGGATTGGGTATCATGATAAATTGCTCCTACCCCCTAACCTAGGAGGTCTACACTATAGTTGGTGTGGAGGTCAAAGTGGGAGGGGTGGGTGAAGAAGTATTGCTACGATCAGGACG